AGATAAAAAAAGGTCCCACCAAATCCTTTTCAGAATGCAGTCCTCCGAAATACTTTCAAAACGCTTTCTCCAGCCGGTAAAATCCTATTTTTATGTTTCCAAGAGATTGCGCATGCTAAGAGCTTTGTTGTGAACGTGAAATCCACCAAAGTCGTCGTCAGCAGGAAAGGCAATGAATGGAGTCACTCGGACGAGACAAGTTGGTGACGGATTCAGATTTTTTGCAGCTGTTTAAAGTAATTCTGAAGGCATTTGAGAATTGAAAAGAGGTATGCCGGTACACACAATGAGAGCTTTTTGTTGTGTTTTGTAAGGTATTTTTATTCACTATCTCCAAGTCCCTCGTTAAGGATTCCATTAAAACTTGTAAATGGCAAGAACTTTGCCTTGGTATATAAAAAGAAGTTTTAAAATTTAAGATTAATTTAAAAAGCTCTAAAAACTAAAAACATAATTTCTAGATTTGATAACGGCAACTCATTTTTAACACCAATAGCTATTCTACAAAACTGTCTGCTGGTAACTATGTCAAATACTCATAGCCAAAATCATTGCAAAAGATTGCGATGAATTTTGCGTACTCCGTCGATTTCAATGAAGCATTTATAAAGGAGCAACTTTTGTTACTTTCCTTGATGTACAGACTTTGCTTTAATATCAAATAACACTTGTCCATACTTCCTTTCGATTTTTATTGCTCACAAAATATTAAAATTATACAATGCCAATTCAAGAATTTTATTATTGTTGTCTCTAATTAGGCTACTGATCTTATTAGACATGCAGTTTTAATTATTACATTTTCTAATTGAATTTTAGGTGCCACAGAGGATTACATAATTCAGTTTGTTTAAAAAATTGTGAAAATTTAGTGCAGTTAAATCATTTCTATCCTCGGAGACGTAAAAATTATTCAAACGCGTCATGTATAGTAGAGTCAAATTTGACTCTACTATACATGATGTGTGACAAAAGGAATGAGGTTTATATTTTTAATCTCTCTGCTTTTATGAAGAAATCTCTGAAAAAATAAAGCAGCTTCTAAAATATTAATATTATCACTGATAACGTTTTTTCACGTACATAATTAAGAATTTTACAGTTAACTATAGAAAAGCGGTAGAGATTCAAAATCGTGGAGTTTGAATTTAAGTAATCAGTTACTTTCACGAAAGGTAATAACACGAACATACATAATATCAAACTCTTATGCCCTCTTCGTATTTTCTGATTTCTTAGGTAATTCAGCGTGATTCATTAAGGCAGGGAATTTAGTAGTTCATAAACAATGGAACTGACATTCTTTACTCAAAATAGTTTTTGGTAAATCTGCTTTGATACAAAAATGCATGTGCTATATGCCTAAACGTATTACACGCTAAAGTATTAATTTCTTACAGTTTCGACACAAATTATCCCGATGGCGGTGGTTTCGTAGCCACAAATGTGAATATTTGCAAATTTTATTAATTTTAATAAATAAGAAATAATAAGAATTTCTTCATATTTCTTTTAATAAATACATACTCATAAAACATTAAGAATAAAAATTGTATTGAATTAAAAACTCTTGGGCAGCTTTTGTAAAGTATTATACCAATGTTTTCTTAAACATAGCTTTCGTAACAACATAGCCATGACTGCTAATACTAAAGCAGACAACATTTATTTTCATGTGGGAATAAATTTATATTTGGAAATAATTAGTAATGAAACATGAGCCCAAAACCTATACGTATATAATATATATTAGAAAAATGTTTGAGATTAAAGAAATTTTTCACTTTCTAAATTTTAATATAAATAATTGATGCAAAATGATATGTGCATAAAAACTGCTATAAACAAACTTACATGTAGATTCTGATTAACTCATTTTCGGAATTATGATTCCGGAATGCACTAAAAATTCCGAAATCGTAACCATTTCATAAACATGTGCATATATTGCCAAAAATTGTAATGAAAAGATTTCAGTGAACAAGTAGTTTTATTTTAAAAAGGGAGCGCATCAAAGTGAACTCAGACATATTATTCGAGACTTGTGTACGTCTGACTGAAACCGATTTCCAGATAGCATATGCTATAAATAATCAAAAGGGATAAAATGCAAATAGTATAACTGAGAACTAATTAATTTCCCCTTTTATATTACTTTTAAGGAAACATATGCAGCATAATTGCGGTAAACATATACATTCATCTATATAAAAGTTTGTTAAAGCTTTGCAGAAGAATGGAATAAAAATAAACGAATATATCGTTTCTATTTACTTGATCCAAAGCTGTTGTTATACCAGAAACAAACTTCTTTTCATAACTTTTTTTCTTATTGTGTATGCATGTTTCTCTATTTCTATGAATTTTCAGTTTCTGTTAATGCATTTAAATGTTATAAATTCTTTTTTTTTTTTTTTTTTTCTTTTCATTAACAGTCTTTCATTTAAATTTTTAATTTTTCCTGTCAATTCTAATGCCAGCGCAATGTTAAGTTTTTTTAAAAAAACATTTCTTTTAATAAGACTTATTTATTTTCACATTAAAGTGATAAAAACAAGCAAAATAAGGAGGACATAATAGCAAGGATGACGACGGTGTCTGTAGCAGTGAAAATGAGATTACATAATACAATGCCTTGTAATAAATACTTATACTTGTAATAATACTAAATGTACTTTAATAATACAATGCCTTCATGCACTGAAAAATAAAATAACGCATCAAAAATAATATTAATTAATTATCGCAAATATATCTATTAAAAAGCTTCTTTTTGAAAATTATATAACAAACATTTTTTAAAACTACCTTTTTTTTAGTATTTCAGACTTTTATTCTAAGCCAGTGTATCACAAACTCTGGTCCTCCTAGATTTAAAACACGTCGTGTTACTTTTTGATGAAATAACGAAGATTTTACATCATTTCTTGCTGATGACACGTGGCTGAGTACATTGGTATACCTTCCGGACACATTCTCAAAACTAAATGAACTAAATCTCTGTCTACAAAGTAATTCTTTGATTGTTCTCAATGCGTATGAGAACTTACAAAGGGATTTGAGAGGGAACTTGGTTTGTGGGTTAGTTGTATAAACAAGAGAAATTTTTCACCATTTATAACCTTAGAATCTTTTTTTAGTACAAAATTGCATTGTTATTGAAAACGAATTATGCAGTGACATATGTTCGCATCTCCAAGTTCTGAGATCATAGTTTGAAACTTATTTTTCGAGCGATAAATATGACGAATTTTCACGGGTTCGTGATCCATTCCGTTGTGATACTGAAAATAACAAATTATCATTCTATGAAAGAAAACAGTTAATTGAGCTCTCGAATGACATTGGACTTAAAATAAAATTTCAAGCACAAGATATGATTAATTTCTGGACCTAATTACCAGTAAAAACGGAATGTAGTGAAGTGTACAATGGCACTTAAAAATTATGATTCAGTTTGCTTTTACGTATCTGTGTCAGAAAGGGTTTTCATCATCATTTTAAATAAAACTTAAGTACTGACATGACCTTGATGCATATGCCGATTTAAGATTATCAGCATACACCCAAATATAAAATAGCTGCACAAGAATCAGCAGTCTCATCCATCACATTCATATGTCAACATTTATTTAATTTTTAGTTACTATGATTAAGAATATTCAAACTCTAATAACCTTGAATTATTAAAAATTGCTTTTTTTCTATTAAATTAACTGAATAATACGAAAATAAAATTAAATGAATTTTAATTCATTTCATTTTAAAAATATAAGTATAGTGGTAATTACAGTTGCTAAAAACTGCTTTTGAAGTAGACAAGCGTCAGGTGGTCCGGAGAACATTCTAATTTCTAAAAGTCATTTCCACTTGAACAAAGACTGAGAAACGCTGTCCTATAACAATATTCAAATTTTTATCTGTTACCCTGGAGGTCATAAAAGACGTGTGCTTCATTATAGAAATACATGCGGAAACAACATGTGCATTGATTTTATGAATCTCTTCAAATATGAAATTCTTTAAATTCCTCCAATATATAAAATAAATACTTATATTTGAAATTCAGAACTCGGACTTAGTGGTGCATGTACACCAAGTGCAGGACTGTGTGATCAGAATTTGGGAGCTCTACGTGCCACTGTCTTTAGATAGCGCGGTGAATTCAAATGCTTACAGGTTATTCATTTTTTATTAACAGAGGATAAAGATAGTGCCATTCTCAACAGTAAAAATTATTTAAATTAAAATTAGTCCTAACTTTATAATATGAGGTGTGTTAGCGGTAATAGCTAGATTCGAACTTCATAATGTTTATATAGCTTCAATACCGTCAAAATACAATCCATACGTATTTTGTAACAAGATCATGGAATTAAAAAAAGAATCAGAAGATGAAAATTGATTAATTAATGCAGTGAATTTGAAAACAGTACAAACCATGCTTATTTATACTTATTTGGAATTAATTATGTCATTTCAATAAAAGCTCTATTAACCATAGTTTACTGGGATGCATCTAAGTAACAGCTCTCTTAGGTAAGCGAACTTGATTTATAACATCCTTTTAGCATTATTAATAAAATCCTAAAATATTAAATTAACATTCTGTTAAGAATAATCAATAAATTATTCAGACTATTAAAAATTTAAACAATGAAACAATCAAAGTACGCCAGTGTAAGGAATGTAAAAAGAAAATGTAGCCATCGGACAACTGCCATAAAACAAGTTTTCGACAGTAATCGCTTGAAAGATGAAGCTGAACATCTTTTAACATTTTCCTAATATTTCAGTTACCAAATGGTGAGATTTGGAAATTAGTATGAAAGCCATATACAAAATACAATTCATATAACTGCAATATTTACAAGCCAAGAGAAATTTCAAGCACAGAAGCAGAAAGGAAACAAGACCAAATGAGTATTCTGAAGAAATGACATGCATAAAAATTAAAATTACGTTGTACTGTAAAACGTAATATTGAAATTCAACCATACCCGAGCAGCTAGTGAAGAATTCGGCTTTTCTAGCAAATCCCATAGGAATCTTTGGTATTGTGAACACCTTCGATGTCCAAAATCGTCTTCTTCCCTCTGTTTTAGGGATTCCGCCTCTTTCCGCATTTCTTCATGCACATGTTCCTTCTTTTGGTGGTACTTGTGCTGGCAACAAGATTCAAGGTACAGTTCATCGATACCCCAGTATTCTAGATCATCGCTGAAAGCCAGGACACACATTTCTTCAACAAGATGGAGTTTGCCGGTACGGTAAAAATTGAGGACAGCGCTGAAAGATCTTGGGTGCCGATCAAAGAAGTATTCATTATCAACCAAACTATAAAAAAATACATTTGTTGACTATAACAAAACAATGTTATCACAATCAACAATCAATAACACAAATCAATCAAACAAACAATCAACAATCAAAAACAATCAATCAATTAAACAATAAAACAATCAATTAAAACAATCAAGTATATAGTAATAAGCCAGAGACTGTGGAAAAGATGTAGAATAGAGATGCGATTACGCACTTTTAAAGATTTACACTTTGCAAAATATACGAAAATATTGCAAATTATTTTTTTTTTCTTTGAAAAGCTTAAACATTTATAATATCTGAAGAGAATATTTGAATTAAATGCTATATAAAATTTATTATTTGAAAATTCTTAAAGTCGAAGTAAAGCTAAAGTTTTTCTATACATTTTCATTTTTTTTTTAAATTCATCCATAGAAAATGTTTTACTGCTTAAGCTTTAATTGGTGTTTTCTCTTCTTTAATTGTCTAGTGTTTCAGAAAACTTTAAAATTATATCTCAGGTAGAATATTTTGTCCAAAGATGAATTGAAAATTATAAAATTACACTAATATTATGTATTGATTTCTGATCGTTGCTAAGCTCAATATTTTTATAGGATGTACAAAATTTTAAAATTAAAATTACTCTTCATTCTTAGATTCGTGCTTACAACTATGCTTTAAAACCGTTTATAGATTAAATACAAATTTACAGATTAAACACCATTTATAGATAGGTTTGCAGATTAAATATAAGAAAAACACAGGCTGATCCTACCTTCCCCCCCCCAAAGTCCTGCTATGCTGCCTCAACGTGGCGGGGGGTGTCACTGGGCGGAACGGGCGAAGTACGTCGGGAGCATAGCTCCTGGTAGGGCCACCCTAGGCGTGAAGGCCGTTCCAACATGCCCAGCTAAAGCATAGCAGGTGAAGAACCCTCAGGGGATTGCCGTCTTGGTGATCGGGTGTCACACTCCCGGGGCCCCAGTGACCTTTCCTCCTCTTTCTTTCCTCTCCTCTTGTCTAGCTCTTCTCTCCTATTTTTCTCCCTTGTGGTTTCCTCTACTGGAGGTTGGGGCTCACTGTGAGATGCAGCTACTAACTCGGTTTCTGTTTCACCATGGTGAGAATACCGCCTATGCGTTTGCCGTGCATGGTGACCCGTAGGGTGGGAAAGGAGGATCCTGGCAGTTGAGGGGCGAGGTACTGTCCCCAACACACTGCTTTGGCCTCTGCTTCTACTTAAAACGGGAGGCACTTAGCTGTCCCCGCTAGTGTCAATCGGCTGGTCACTAGTCCTATTGGTCAGTGGCTAGGGGATAAGCTCTCGGAAGTCTCCGCTTTTGGGAAAGCCGACTGTGGGGCTTCAGTTTGCGTATAGGCCCGGCTAGCCCTAACACAGGGATCTGTGTTCCCTTGTTGGGCTCCATGGTGGGTGGGGCGGTCGGGCCCGAAACTTTCTCTCTTTTCAATATGAAAACTTTAACTTCTTCTCCTAACCATATGGATACGAAAAATTCTGGAGCTGCTAAAAGAATTTGTACTTCGACCTTAATTAGCACAAACAAATGTCCAAAGTTCTTAGTTATCACTGGTGAGCTAGAAAATCTATCACCATTCTTCATCCATAAGCATATTGTGGCCTCAGCAGGCGAGCCAAAACACATAAAAAAGCTCCGTTCAGGATCTCTGCTCATCGAGACTACATCTGATGCACAATCTTCCTCTCTCCTAAAAATGACCAAAATGGGGGAACATTCTATTACTGTATCCCCACATAAGTCTTTGAACACGTCAAGAGGTGTCATTTCGGAAATAGACTTGATATCAGTCTCTGAGGATGAACTTTCAAAAGAACTCGCCGAGCAAAATGTATGTGGCGTCCGCCGAATAAAAGTCCGTAGAGACGGGCAACTCGTCAACACAAAACATCTTATTCTGACTTTTTTCATCTCCAGAGCTACCGAAAGCCATTAAGGCAGGTTACCTGAATTGCCCCATCAGACCTTACGTGCCGAACCCACTGCGCTGCTTCAAGTGTCAACGGTTTGGCCATGCGAAGGCCGCATGCCGGGGAAACCTGGCATGTGCTCGCTGTTCTGCAGGTGGTCACGAAAGTCAGGATTGTGTAGCTGATCCAAAATGTGCAAACTGTCATGCCAATCATCCAGCATACTCACGAAACTGCCCTAAGTGGAAAGAAGAGAAAGAAATACAGCATATTAAGACTACAAGAAAAATCTCCTATCCTGAAGCTAAGAAACTTTTTAGCACGGGTCAGTCAAAAGCAAATGTCTCCTATGCACAAGCCACTAAATCATATCGGTCAATAAGTACACAAACATCGCATAGCACACAGAAGAAGATACCTGAACCAAAAACAAATGACAAAGAAAAAGTCTTTCTTCTACCTCCTCCCAAACAGACAATAGAAAGTCGAGAAATAAAAACACAAGAAACAGAGAGTTCAAAAAAGAAAATCAAAAGCTCAGAAAAGAGAAGCTCAAGCCGAAGCTCTATTGAAGGGACCTTTTCAGACTTTATCGAATCTGAGATGGAAACAGATGGAGGCAGAGATCTCTCGAAAAATGTTCTACCTCACAAAACAAAGAAACAGCATCGAAGCAATAAACATTCCTAATGGCTACTCTCATTTCGTGGAACTGCCGGGGCTTCTATCAGGGTATTGATGGCATTAAGCAACTTATTAATAAATATCGACCTATTTGTATAGCGATACAAGAGACATTCCTCAAACCTGGTAATTTTGCAAAGCTACGTAGATACTCGATGACAAGAAAGGATAAGACATTCAGTGAACGCGCAAGTGGTGGTGTCTGTCTACTCACCTCAATTAATTGCCCTTCGAGTGCTCTCCCTTTGGATACTCCTCTCCAAGCAGTTGCAGTACAGTTGAGCATTCGAACACTGACTACTGTTTGCAGTATTTACATCCCGCCTAATGAGAACATTAATTTAAGAGATTTAGAGGATCTAATTGCCCAACTACCAGCTCCGTTTATTCTAGTCGGTGATTTCAATGGACACAATCCCTTGTGGGGTAGTAAAGACACCAAACCCACGAGGAAAGCAAATTGAACAGCTACTCCACGACCACTGTCTCTGTATCCTTAACAACGCAGAAAGCACTTATTTTCATCAGCCAACAAGGACCTTCCATTCCATTGACCTTGCTATTGTTTCTCCACAGCTTTTGCCATTTTTGTTTCTTTAATGTCGAGAATTATCTATATAATAGCGATCATTTTCCTATTATCATAAGCATTACAGGAAATAGGAGTGTGTTTATACCTAGAACACCACGCTTTTTGTTGGACAAAGCCGACTGGGACTCTTTCTTACATTATGCTCTTTTTACTGAAGAAATAATAAAGAATGTGCACATTGATCAGGCTGTGAAGATCATTACAGATAAAATTATTCAAGCAGCTGATATATGTATACCAAAAAACGTCGGTAAAACAGCCAAAATACCCAAAGCCCTGGTGGAATCCTGAATGCCAGGACGCCATCAGAAAACAAAGGAAAGCTTGGAGCATTTTTCGGCGATATCCTTCAGAATCAAATCTCGTAATATTCAAAAGGGCTAAAGCAAAAGCTCGGCAGGTGCGAAGGAAAAGTCAGAAGAATTCTTGGATCTCGTATGTGTCTTCGATTAGCTCTTCAACTTCGAGTAAGAAGGTCTGGGAGAGAGTCCGGAAAGCGTCCGGTATCTACAAAGAGCACACACTTTCTATTTTAAAGACAAGTGGTGAAACAGTTACTAGTAGGGAAGAAATTGCCAACGCTATTGGACAGAGTTTCTCAGCCGTCTCACACAGTAGTAACTACCCTCTTGAATTTCTTTCCGCAAAAAAATGCATTGAAAAAAACTAATTAATTTCAACTCTTCCAATACTGAACCATATAATCAGGATTTTACTGTGCTTGAACTGAAAAGAGCTCTGTTGCAGACAAAAAATTCATGTCCTGGTCCAGATGATATTGCCTATCCTATGCTGAAACATCTTCCTTCCAAGTCATTGGCAGCCATCCTCTTTCTCTTCAATAGAGTATGGAAGGAACAAGTCTTTCCAAATGCCTGGAAAAGAGCTTTTGTCATCCCCATTGTTAAACCGGGAAAAGACCCTACTAATCCGTCGAATTACCGTCCCATCGCCTAACTTAGCTAGCTGCCTCTGCAAACTCTTTGAAAAGATGGTCAACACTCGTCTGGTCTATTATTTAGAGACAAATAATTGTATCTCCCCTTATCAGAACGGTTTTAGAAAAGGAAGAGCAACTATCGATAATATCCTACTCTTAGAAACAGGTATCCGTAGAGCGTTCGTTAGAAGAAATCATTATGTTTCCATTTTCTTTGATATAGAGAAAGCCTATGATACCACCTGGAGATACGGTATCCTTCGTGACCTATATAACAATGGTTTACGAGGAAACATGCCGATATTCATCAAACATTTCCTACAGGATCGGAAGTTTCATGTGAAGATAGGCGATACACTTTCTGACATGTTCCATCAAGAAGAGGGCGTTCCGCAAGGAAGTGTATTAAGTGTTACATTATTTAGTATAAAAATTAACTCTATTTTAAAAACAACTGCCTCCAGCAGTCCAGGGTATGCTCTATGTCGATGACCTGCAAGTCAGTTGCCAGGGAGAAGACCTGAAAGACATCGAATGTAAACTTGCAGACATCTCTCAATAGAATTGTTAAATGGTCACAGGAAAATGGTTTTAGATTCTCTACTCAAAAGACTGTGTGTGTACATTTCTGTCGAAAGAAAATTCCTCACCCTGACCCCGAACTTTATCTGCAAGATGTGCTGATTCCTGTAGAAAAGGAAATAAAATTCCTAGGAATGATATTTGACCATAAGCTTACGTTCCTCCCCCATATTACCTATCTAAAAAAGAAATGTTTAAAAACTATGAATATTCTGAAAGTACTGTCAAATACTTCTTGGGGTGCTGATCGAAGCTCAATGCTTCTTATATATAGAGCTCTC